AGCTTTGGATACTGGGCATCGTCTCTTTGCCAGTGATCACATGTCCAATTTCCCTTCCATGTTACCATAGAGACATTCCTCATGGCTCTATAAGCCTAATCAATTAATTGTTGGGTATTTCTTCCCCCACTTCTCAAAGGAATGGATTTCCCTCCTATTCCTATTTGTCACTAACCTGAAAAAGGCCTGGTTCAATATCTAGTCCTAAATTCTCTCTGACAAGAGCAACAGATACCAGTCACCGACTCTTGTTGCCCAGAAATGGAAAGACCGAGGAGAAAATTGGGACTCTTATCATCATCATCAATAAAATACTTATCTACATTTGGAAAACACTAGTTCACAGATGAATCATACGACATATGTGATATATAAGATATATGAAATACAATCCCTTAAAGTTTAAGAAACTTACAAACTTGTGAGGAGGGCAAGCTAAAATAGCAAGTAGCATTACACTAAGGGGCAGATATACCATTAACAACATGTTCCAAATAGTGAGATCTCTATGGAAAACATTTCACAGGGACATGTATTAGGAATGAGATGGTATCAATCTAATAGTTCTGGTTAGAATACATTTAACATAAGATTCAAGAAAAATCAGCAAATACTGAGTTCCTGTTAGGTGGAAGGTACCATTCAAGTAATAAATAAATAAATAAAAGACATGATACACACCATAAAGGGATGTACAATCATATTAGAATTTGCACCTGCTTCTATGGAATGATCCCTACTGCTTGCCAACCCCCAACCTTGGTAACTCTTACTATTCCCATCTTAGACCAAACCCATTAAAAAAGCTATGATTACACCCTGTATTCCTCTTTCATAGTTCTTACCAAAGCTAGAATTTTATATTACTTGTAAATTTATTTGCCTGATGTTTGTCTTGCTCAGACATTAAATGCCATGTAACTGGGATTCATGTCAGTATTTGATCACCATGAACCTAGTAGTGACCAAGCCCAGCACTTAGCACAGCCCCTGCCATGTATGATGCTCAACAAAAGCAGCAAAAGAAGAGGAGGGAGGGAAGGAACTTGCCTAAAGTTCACACAACTAGTATACCACAGAGTCAGTATATTTGTTAAACAACATAAAAGATTTATCTATTTCATAAGGCATGGCATAATCAGCTATTAAAAAAATAGAACAGATAATAACACCACTGTTTGGGAGAGAGATCATTTCCACTTGTTAAGGTCTGGGAAGAGTTTACAGAGGAGTTGAGGTTGGAGTTTAGCATTAAAGGACAAATAGTATTTAAATAAATGAAGAGAAATACAATTCCCTGTAGGTGGTACAGCATGAGCAAAAGTACTGTAGGAAGAAAGCACAAGGCATATTTAATGGGTAGTTAATAAACCTAGAATTAAGGGTTTTATAGATGAATAGGTTGAAAAGGTAGGATAATGGAAGGATTAAATGTCAGGCTACATAGTTTATTATTTATTCATAGGCAGCTGGGAGATACTGAAGATTTTTGAGAAAGGATGGAGTCTAATTAAAGTACTGATTATGAATATCAATCTGGCAGTAGAATCTAGAGACAGGAGACACTAAACCAGTTAAGAGACTTGCAAAAGATTGGGGGGAAAGGTAATTGTCACAGATCCTACGACAGTATAGGTATTCAATCATTACATTGAGTTGTGCAAGGCCTGGACTAAGGATGCTGAGCATAAAAATTAGAAATAGATTCAAAAGAAATTACAAAGTAGGAAATGTAAGCAAGACCTAGCAAAAAAAAAAAAAGAGAGAGAGAGATTGAATTAGTCAGGATTTTAGCTGGAGACAGATGGCACACTTAAAGGGCTAACTGGACATGGTTTAATGAAGGGATTATTTACAAAGGTGTGGCCTGGGTTAATAAACCAAAAAAGGAATAGTGAAGCATCCAGGGACTCACAACAGTAGGAAGCTTTTTCCTGTTTTAAACCTAAAGGGACAGTTATTGGAAGAGTGAGAGTTATAGCCAAGGGAGAGGGCTATAGCCACAGTGGAAGCCATGGCCTTAGGTAGAGAACTCAGCCACTAACAAAGATCTGCTAGGGCCTCCCATTGATTGACCTGTCCTAATAGGAAGCCAGAGCGCAAGGAAGCCTGTGTGATGCTGCCCACAGAGGTCAACCACGTAGGGCAGACAGGGCAGAAGGATGGAGAGTAGATCTGTAATGACAGCATATACAAGCAGTAACCAAGGTCAAGGTCCTGGCTTAAGGATGCTAGGAGTGAGCTATCCATGTCTGTTAAAAACCATTCACTCTAAATGAATGGAAGCCTAGAGGCAGACAGTGAAAGGTGGAATTAGGAAGTGCCAATGAACAGTTAAGCATATGAAAAAATGTAGCTTTTTCAGGGAGAGTTAAGAAAATAGAATTCTAAGCCTAATGCAAAAAGCTCAATATGGGGTCCTTAGCCTCTGTGAATGTCTCTTACCTAGGAATAGTAATGAAAATCAAGCTGCCCTGTCCAATTTATTTAATTGGATTCCAGTCTCTTCTTCATTCCCAATACTATCTACAACTCACATCTTTAGATTTCAGTGATCCCAAATTTAGTTTCTTTTGATTAGTTGTTTCCTTCTCTGCCCAAATTAGGTGTCTCCCAACTCTTTATTAAGTCAACTCTATAGAGACAAATTGGCGGGAGCCCTTCTACCATACCACCTAACCAATCCAGGCAGTGGAACCCTTACTTATTTAACCCTCAGACATCTACTTTCCACATCCTCTACTTTCTGGGACTAAGTCTCATTTTTCTGGCAGAGAAAATGAATAAATCAGAGATAGAGCCACAGAGAAACTATAAAAAAGATTCAGATAAGAGATCAATGAGAGGAGGCAGAGAAGAAAATCAGAATTCATCATTTTATTTGCAGGTTAGCTACATATTGATTTTGAATAGTCTGGGCAAAAAAAAAAAAGTCTGGGCCAGACCAACCTGCTTTTGAATCCCCGCTCTGTCACTAGCTCATTATGTGACTTAGGGATATTACTTAATATCTATAAGCCTTAATTTCTTCATTTGTAAAGGCCAAAATATCTTTCATACATTTTAAGTAATTAGCACAATGCCTGGTGCATTGCAAATAATTCCTCAACAAAGCTGGCTATTAGAAATCATCATCAGCATTATTATTGTTTAAATGGTGATGTGCTGGCCTCATATATATGCCTATTATAATGCAAAAAATGGTTAAAAGTAATTATCAACATAGGGCATATAATTACACAAAGGCACATACTAGTAAAAGGGCAGAGAAATAAGAATATGAATATGGAATATGAAAGAGTAACATGGTTCTTCCAAAGTATAAATTGTATGATGGATGAATGGAGGGTACTCCTGGGAGTTGCATGCTCAGACTGGATAGAATCTTCTATTCTCCTTACCCTGGTTTAGAAGACTTGCCCTAGGAAATAGGATGCCTGTAAAATCAAGTAAATCAGTATTCACTGAACACTGATTGACCATATGTCTGAAACGGCAATGAATAATTGAAAAATTAAGGATAAGACATAATTTCTAACCTCAAAACCTACAATCTCATTGATAGGGTTATGAATACAATCTAAATTATGAAATTCTACAATACAGACTGTAAGTGGAGTAAGTGACCCCAGAAGGGAAACAGCTACAGGATTAAAGTCCTTAGTGAGAAATTCACAGAAGTAGGGTTGAAGTGGGTGGGTGAAGGGGGCAGGACTGGAGCTAGGTAAAGGATATTTCGGAGAAAATGACTGGGAGTTGGGAGCACCTCAAGGATGCCACGCTAGAAGAATTTTGGTAATAGGAACGTGTGTTAGATGCTGAGGGACAAAAAAGGGCAAAATAACCTCTGACCTCAAAGAACTCAAGGTGCCCCGATGGAAAACTAGGAAAGCGAAACACAAAAAATCAGTTATTACGAAGCAATGTGACAAATACTACAATGGACAGTCATTCCAACATGGAGTTCTGGAGCATTGGGACAGGACAGCAGTCACCGGACAAGGCTTTCAGGTAGCAGGGCAGGCCCTTCTGTGCAAATGACTTTCTGGAGCTTAGAGCCCCTGCCCTTGTCCATCTACCCTCAGCTAACGGAGGGGCCTGCCCTTTAAACAATATCACTCGGCGAAGAGCCAGGATACGCCTTTAGGCGCCAACACTGGAGCCGAGGTCTGAAGGATGGAGTAGGGACGGGGAGGGGAAAGCAATCTTGGCGGAAAGAAGAGCAAATACAGTGGCGGGTAAGAGCCTGACAGTTTAGGAAGGACGAGGACTCCCCGTCCTTCCCATCCCTTCGCCTAGGGCTCCCTAAATTCGGATTTAGATTAAAAAAACTGGTAATTTCAAAATACTTCTAAGTATGTCCAAATACTGCGTGGGACGAACGCTTCGGGCTCCCTTCACCTCCTCCTAGCCCGTCCCGGGGCTCACCAACCCCTGGGACCCGCGAGCGGGCGGAGGGAAGCACGAGGAACTAGCACAGGTTTAACTCTCCCTCACTCCATCTTTCACGCTCTGGTTTCCGCCCAGGCCCGAGGAATTTAGCTCACAGCTCGCTCCGCTTCGGTGGTCTGGCTCCGCCGACTGAAGTTAGTGCGGGAAGAGAGAAGGGCTCTCTCACACAAGAAACACCAACTCCGCTCGGCCAGCAAGCGCACTGACCGGCAAGCAAGCGGAAGTCGCCTTTCCCCGGCACCAGAAGTCCCGCCCCTTCCGGAGGAGGGCCAAAGCAAGACAGCCAATCCAAAGGAAGGAAATACTCCGGCTGAGGCGACTGGGAATTGGGCCTGGGGCTCGCGACCGGAAGCAGCCTGGGGGCGGGCCTCACGCTGGAAGTGCTCGCCACCAGGCTGGTTCCACCGCTTAGGTGGTAT